GGGGGGGGGCGGGGCTGGGGAGACACCGGGAGTCGGGCAGCGCCGGTGTAGGGGGGGCATCAGCGGAGGAGGGGGGGGGGGTAGGAGCAGGAAAACTTTGGGGGCAGCCGGCGAGCCCGGGCGGGAGCCGCAGCGGAGTGCTGGCTCCGCCTCTCCCGTGCCCCGTCCGGGCGCGCCTTTCCTCGTCTCCCGCTTCCCTGTTTTGCATCCCGACTTTCCTGCCCGCCTCTTTCCCGGCCGCCGCGTTTCACCCGCTCCCTTTGCTGCTTCGTTCTTTCTTGGGCTTCTTCGGATCTTTTCCTGGAAGCGCCCGTCGGTATCTCCTCGGGAGTGCTGGTTTGGTTTTTGACAGGTGGACGTGGAGATCCGCCCAAGAGTTTAAAGAGGTCTTCTAAAACGCACTGTGTAAGTTTCTGCTTGGTTTTAGTCGCAGTGCTCTTCGGGATCCACTAGAAAGGGGCAAAGGCAGTTGTAGCCCCCGCGATTTTTTGTATACACAAAGGTGTGAACGTGTTTAATTTGTTGGCCCTTTAGCCACCTCTGGAGTGTCGGTTAAATACTGTAAAATAATGGCTTTTGGTCTTCTGCCTTCAGTCTTCCCCAACGTGGTGCCCTTCAGATACGTGGTGTATAGTTCCCCTTTCTATTAAACGTGCTGGGTGGGGATGATGGAAGTTGCAGTTCAACGTATATGGAGAACACCAGGTTCAAGGAGACTGACTCAATGCATATGGGTATATGAATGCTCTGTTTGTGTGATTGTAGAAATCAAAGGTGTCAATTATTGAAAAATAATGACTCACCTTTAGAAGAAGTATTTAAATGCAGTATTTGTTCTCGGTAGGGAAGTGATTGGGGCTGGGAGAGGCTGCAAAACTTTTTTTTACTCAAGGAGAAAGTTGAAGTTTTTTCAGTTCTGAAAAATAATTTTCAATCCTTCCCTCAGTTTCAGTTGCTTAATTGAAGTAATCAGGTAAGTGAGGCATTTAAGATGGAAGGGAAAGAGAACCTAACCTTACCAGTTAATTGGTATTTCCCTTCGGAGGGTGGGGAGGAGGAATTTGTTTTATAATGCTTTGTCATATCACTGTGTCCAAGATTAGGTGCTTCTGAAGTTTAAACCCTTGCAAAAGATTAAAAACAGTTTCAGCATGAGGAGCCAAAGTTATTCAAGATGAAACTGCTGAATTTCTTTATACCTGGGGATAGTGTCTCACCTATTTATTCCTTAAACCAACGTGCCACTTGGGAGCAAATTCAGAATGTGATTATTAGTGTGAAACTTGGGTTGCTGGTGTTGGCAGAAAAATCCTGAGCCTTGAGCAGAGGCAGAACAGAGAAAGAAAAAGGAAAGAGGAAATGCTTTGTTGCAGCCAGGGAAAAGGTAGGCTTTCTTACCTTTGTGCCAGTAGAGTACAGACTTTCTCAAGACATTTAGAAACAGATGTGCTGCACTGGACAAAAGTTGTTTTTTTTTTTCCCCCCTTTTCTCACTGCACCTGCTTAATATAGTTAATCTGCTGGAATTAAAAGGTAAAGTGCCGTGGGCCTTTGAAGACTATGTTCTAAGGTGTGATTGACAGAATGAGCTTGCCAGTTTGGGGAGGGCAGGGCTCCACAGAGAGCAGCTTGGGGTGGGGAGTGGAAGCTTGCGCACGGTCTTGTGAACATCGGAAGATAAGGCTTTGATAGCCCCGTCACAGGAAGGAGGGTGGAATCCGAGTGTGAGTGGAATGGGTGTACAGTACATTGCTATTGGGGAAAGATTGTTGTTCATCTGAATGCTAGCCTCACTTAAGCATGTTCATTTGGAAATTTGACCTGTTAAGATAAAAAGGTCTTATATATATTTGCATACATATGTGTCTGCTCTCTTCGGGGTACAGGAGGTAAAATACTGAGCCTGACCCACACATTTTGATGACCTCAGCAATTTAACTAAAAACTCCATATCAAAGGAATCATCTATAATATACTGAATATCAACATCAAGAACCTTCCCCTTTGAAGGTCCTCATGAGTGGGGTGAATATTTGAAGCATGGGAGAGTGCTTCAAAATGTAATGGGCTAGCCTAGCTCCAAATTGGTGTTGACATATCATATTAAGCCATTAGCTTGGCTTTGGCATAACATGGTATGTGAATCCACTCAGTCGTTTATTGTTGAAGAAACAATGCAGTGATTAAAATTTAATGTCATGTGTTATCCACACCCTTATCATGCCCTGCCAGCATAGCTATTGATCTATAAGCCAGTGTATTTTGAGGGTACCAGTTTGGGGAAGGCTAAAATATGAGGTCATTACAGGACAACTGTAATTTGTAGTATAGCACACAATTGACAAGGCAAGAGCTAATTACAGCAGGAAATCCTGAAACTACTTTAAAATGCAAATATAATTTAATGAAGAAAAATAAGTGATAATTATCTTAAATTTATATCTGTAATATTTACAAGAAAATTAACCATAGAATTATTTGCAGTTGTTGATACTAAAAGTAAAGTCCAGTTTACTATTCTGATTTCCAAAATCGATAGGACTTTTGTGTGTAGTTTTAATTTGTATATGGAAACTGGCTGTTGGGGCTTCTTAACATAATCAGTAAAGTTCATGTCTTCTCTGTGGACAGATGGTCTGTTGATGTCCTTAAATTCCATGACCACCTTAAACAGATTTCTTATATTTAGTTTTGAATTAGGTAATTCAAAAATTACCTTATTTATACCAGTAAGTAAATTGTGAATGTGAAATGTTGTGTTGGAGCCAAAGAAGTATGAAACCAGTTCTGAATCTCTCAAAAATAACAGGATAGCTTTCCTTGAACATCTGTCGTCCACCTTTTCCCCATATTCCATGTGGTAACCCTGAGTTAGCTTTCCCCGGTGTGGTATTTTCCAACTGTGTGGGATGATGGTGGCAGTGATGATGATGAGATATTAAATTTATATGCCACTTGACTTTGCATGTGCAATTTGGAAATTCTGGAACTTGCACATGCTCTTCAACATAACTGGAAGGCACCTGATTGGAAAAGGCTGCTTTATATATTTATAGAAATTGCAGATAATCCTCCCTTGGTTTTTTAGGTGTTTAGAGTAGAAGTTTTGTATTCTGTATACACAGGGATCCCAAAAGGCTCTAAATGGGGTGGGTGGGGAGGTGTACGAAAGAAGCACACCTGTTGCCATAAAAAACTTGCATGCAGGATTCTCCCTAGAGATACAGGTCTCAGCAAGCTGGTCCCAGCGGTAGAATGGCTGGGAATTGCTTTTCTCTTTTGGATTGAAGAAAATAAACAACTGCCACCAAAATGTTGCATTAATTGATTTAGAAGATGAAATATTGTTGAATTTTTAACCACAGCTTCAGAATCTGATCTCTAAATTTATAACTCATGCACAGGGAAAAACAAGACCATTTCAGAAAAGTGAGATAATTTCTCACAAAGCTCATGAAATCATTAAGTTGTAAAATGATATGCAAACCTGATCTGCAATTCAGGAGAGTACAAAGGTTGACAACTGAATGAAGTCTTCTTGTGCTGCAAGTATAACACATTAACAGGCAGTTGAAAAGTGATACTTTGCTCTCCAATCTAGTTTCAGTAACAAAAGGTCTGCCAACCCAGAATACTCTTATAAATTCTTGATGGCTATTTTAACATCTGGTGGAGCTCTCTCTCTCTCTTTTACAGGATTAGTCCATTATTTTGATCACAGTTACTAAAATGGATTTTAAAAAATAGTGGTGTCTTTATTGGGAAGTAAAACAGTGGAAACAATGGAAGGAACTGTTTCAGTTGCTACTTTCTCTCTAGGTTGAGATTAGGGAATGATATTGTAAACCTTTTTTAAGACAAGTATTTGGTGTTTTAAGACAAAGAGTTGCTGATTTGATATTCTGAATGTGTGATTACTTTCACAACAGAACCTGTGAAGTGGCCTGGTTGCTGAACAGCTTATTGTATTCTATATTTTAGTTTATTACATGAGGTTATTTGGAAAACCACAGAACTCTTTTAAGTTGCTTGAATATCCAGGAGGCCAAAACAGTAACAGTGTAAAAGTTCAAAAACAAAAAAGCTGAAAAGCCTTAGTGACCTTGTTTGATTTCCACAGGGAAGATATGATTCTGAAACATGTTTTGCTTAAAGCTGAACTGTTAAGAAACTTTCTCAGGAAAGTTATTTAAGTTTCTCATTTTGCCTACTCCTTGGAGGAAACTTTGTTCTGTATATATTGGCTGTAAAGTTTCACTGAATTTCAGGAAGACAGTAATTTGGATCCATCCTTACTTGTACTTAATATAGGATGCATGCAACAAGAAATATAAAGATTGATTTTATATGTGCTAAGCCATAACATGGTTGGTTTAGTTTTGGTTTATAGGATTGAGCAATCCCAGTCATGATGGCTTGTTAACAATGGTTTATGACTTTTTCAAATGTGGCTTATTTAGCAATTTATGGTTAAATAAACTGGCTTAGCAGAAGTATCACCATGTAAAATTCTGCTTAACACAGAAGGACACTCATTGGAGAGTCTTGCTATTGACTAATAAGATGGAGAAAAAAGCAGCAAAAACTTGGACAGGATGTAAGCAGACACCATCCCATTCAGCAAAAACCGAAGGACAGATACAAGTATCTGTTGCTTGTACATATATAAATAACCCTTTTCTGAAAGCTGGGAACAGAGCAGAGTACAGGTAGTCCTTGCTTAACAACCACAGTTAGGATCAGCAACTCTATTGCTAAGTGATGTGGTTGTTAAGTGAGACATCACATGACCGTGATGGATTTACAACCTCACTTCTGCAGTCGTTAAGTGAGACATCATGTGATTGCGATTTGTGATTTTACTGCTGGCTTCTCCATTGACTCTGCTTGTCAGAAACTGGCTGTGAAGTGTACATATGGCAATCACGTGAATGTGGAATGCTGTGACAGTCATAAATGCCCGCTGGTTGTGAAGTGCCCAAATCCTGATCGCATGACTGTAGAGATGCTACAATAGTCATAAGTGCAAGGACTGGCTGTAAAGTTACTTCTTCAGTGCCGTGGTAACTTTGATCGCTGAATAGGACAGTTGTTAAGTGAGGACTACCTGTACTAGTTTCCCTCCTTGGCAGTTGGTTTTGAGCGATGTGTATGAGGAGGCACTGGCTGCAAAATGATCAGAGCAGTACCTAATAGTGGATGCTCCTTAAAAGGTGATGGCACAGAAGTGCCTGTTCTGCTCACTGATTCTGTGTTGTTACAATGTTGGCTATAGATGTTTCCATTCTTCATCAGATGTTGGCAGGGTGAGGTCTACTTGGAACCCTCCTGCTCCCCTCTTCCTTTACTTAAAAGGTTTCTGGTTAGGCGTAAAGGCATTTCCTTTGGCTAACAGCCATGGTTGCCAGATCATGGCTTAATGCGTAATTCAGGTCACTCTGTAGTATTGTTTTTTCTCTACAGAACTGATTGAAATGGTGAACCTAGAGCAGATGATTTAACCCTACCTTTTTGTCTCTGTTGGATCACTGCCATCCATCCCCCCCCCCTTTTTTTTTTGCTGATGGAAGCTATTCTGTTGTTTGCGATAACTCCTCCCTTTCCTATTGTCCGATGCTGTGCTATTAATGGAAAACTCAGCTTGGTTTTTACCTTAGGCATTATTTGAGAACCGGAATGTAAAGAACAGCTTCTTTAGAAAGGGAAATAGTTTAATTAAGAGCCACACTGACTTGTCCCAACCTTTACCTTTGTTTTTATTTGTTTGTTTTTAAAGATAGTATGTATTTGGCTGATATCTTTCAGACAAGGTAATGTGGCTGACAAGGGTATCTTTGCAAGCTGGAAATAATGTTGTGGGCACAGGGACAGGGATATGTTCTGTTTCTATTGAATGAAAGGACTAATATAAATGTGCTGATGTATGTATAAAGAGGAGGCAGTTCTGTTCAACCTTGGAATGCTTAGTTTTTTAAGTCAGGCAAGTTTGTATTTTCCTCAGTAGTGTATAGATTCTTGAACAAAATAGCCTCTAAACATTTTTAGATGGCCCAAAGTCATGCCAGGCCTAACGTAGCTAAGACTTTGCTCACTTTTTCTATAAAGAGTACAGAGCTCATTTTAAAGGGGTTCTATTTTATTTTCATTGGAGCCTTCTTTCAGGTTTGCCTGCATAGAAACTAACCTGGGCTGCTTAGAGATCATCAAAAACAAATCCACTTTGCAGCACAATAATCATGCTCATTTCATTATTAAACACCCTGAAAAATTCATTGGATTGGATGCTGTAGTCAAAAAGATCCATACAAAAAGGAAAGCTTGAAGAAAGTAGAATGTGATGTTGCTTCAAATTGGGATTGTACTGGAAAAAGATGAGGACTAAGA